TCTGTAAACGGTGTCTTTAGGCCTTAGTAATGATCTTCACATGTCCCCTCTCACACTCAGAGCACATTGTTTATCTGCAGATGAGAAGTCAAGCTGTAAGAGCAGAGCCGGAGCACAGGGGTCTGCAAACGGAAGTGTGCGGACCCCCAGAGGAATACTTCAGTCTGAAAAAGGCCCTTCTCAAATACTCACACAGGGCAAGTCCACAGTCTGTCTGGGGCTGTGGAAGAGGAGCTCCCAACGCTGCTCTGTGTAATGACTGCAAGACATTATACGCAAGAAATGATAGGAAGACTCAAGTTTTACATTTGACAAACTTGAGGTGATTACATACAGTATATATATGTTAGGGGTGCAACGGTTTGAAAAAATCACGGTTCGGTTCGTACCTCGGTTCAGAGGCCACGGTTCGGTTCATTTTTCGGTTCATTTTTCAAAAAAAAAGTTTTGTCTTTTTAATAAACACAGCTCATGTGGACTCGGCTTCTGCTCTGACTGCCCCCCCCCTGACCTAGAAATGAATTAAGGGGAAGGAAATGGATGGATGGATGGATGGCATATTCCATCCATCCAATTATGTCTATTTAACATAATTAATGAAAAACAACGCAAAGTGCAACATAAGAAGGCACTTTATGAGGATATTTACCCTCATATATTAAACCACCTTCCTGATTCTCCCGAGGAGGGGGTCCATTCTGGGCCCAGCCTCATTCACTGCATTTATTTAATTTTTGGCATTATCAGTTGTGACTGGAATATTAGTACTGGGCCTTTGTCTTCCATTCCTCCGCTGCTTGTGTCAGAACCTGCGCTGTGTGACTGTGTGACTGTCGTAGAGGGGGCGTGTCTGCAGCGCCAGACTTCTCATCTCCCAGTCTGCGGTGATGAAGTGAGCGGTTCCGCTCATGGATCTATTATAGGTTCCGCGGGACGTCCAAGCGTCAGTCGTGAGCTGAGCTGAGGATGCGCGGGAGAGTTGACTTTAGCCCGGTCTGACTGTGCGTAAAGGAGCTGCTTAAATGCCGCGACAATAAGCGGTCGTTGAGACGCTTTTTTCACTCATGTCTTTCTTGTGCCACAGTGCTTACACATCGTGACAGTTTTGTCGAATATTAATTATCAGTGTAGTTACAGTGAAGCCAAAATGCTCTCATACTGGGGATTTAAATGACGCAGGGCTTTCAAGTATCTCCGTTCCTCCGCTCGCAATGACCGCGCTGTGTGTGGACTGAACAACGTGCGCACAACTTTTTTTTCATAAATCACACCGCGGATCACGTCTGTACCGAACCGAAGACGTTGAACCGAACGGATCACGGATCAGTGATGAACCGTTGCACCTCTAATATATGTACAGTACATACAGGGGGCCAATCCAGTCCACTTTATCTAAATAGCTCATTTCATTAACCCATTTCAGTTTCCAAAGTGCAGTACAAAAAGAAAAAATAGCATCCATCCATCCATGCATTTTCTTCCGCTTTATCCGTTGCCGGGTCGCGGGGGCAGCAGTCTAAGCAGAGACGCCCAGACTTCCCTATCCACACACACTTCCGCCAGCTCGTCCGGGGGGACCCCAAGGCGTCTTCCCCGGGGCCTCCTCCAGGTGGGACGTGCCCGGAACACCTCCCCAGGGAGGCGTCCAGGAGGCATCCTGAACAGATGCCCGAGCCACCTCAACTGGTTCCTCTCGACGTGGAGAAGCAGCGGCTCTACTCCGAGCTCCTCCCGTGTGACTGAGCTCCTCACCCTATCTCTAAGGGAGCGCCCAGCCACTCTGCGGAGGAAGCTCATTTCGACCGCTTGTATCCGCGATCTCGTTCTTTCGGTCATTACCCAAAGCTCATGACCATAGGTGAGGGAGGGAACGAAGATTGACCGGTAAATTGAGAGCTTTGCCTTTCGGCTCAGCTCCCTCTTTACCGCAACGGTCCGATACAGAGACCGCATCACTGCGCACGCTGCACCGATCCGCCTGTCAATCTCACGCTCCATCCTCCCCTCACTCGTGAACAAGACCCCGAGATACTTGAACTCCTCCACTTGAGGAAGGACCTCTCCACCCACCTGAAGAGGGCAAGGCACCTTTTTCCGGTCGAGCACCATGACCTCGGATTTGGAGGTGCTTATTCTCATCCCAGCCGCTTCACACTCGGCTGCAAACCGCCCCAGTGCATGTTGCAGGTCCTGGTTCGTTGGAGCCAACAGGACAACAAACAGCAGAGATGAAATCCTGTGGTCGCCGAACCGGACCCACTCCGGCCCCTGGTTGCGCCTAGAAAAAATTAAAAAATGCAAAAATAGCAACAAATAAATAAATACACACATTCAAATCAAAATTGAAAAAAAAAAAAAAAACTCACAGAGGATCACACGACTCAGGCCAGAGAATAAAAGTGGGTTTTGAGTTTCAGCCACCAAAAAATCAATAATCCATTTTGATTCTTTGTCTGGCAATGACAGAGGTCAAACTGTAAGTCTTCACAAGGTTATCACACAATGTTGCTGGAATTTTGGCCCATTCCTCCATGCAGATCTCCTCTAGAGTAGTGATGTTTTGTGCAGTCGCTGGGAAAACACACACTTTCAACTCCCTCCAAAGATTCTAAGGGGTTGTGATTTGTGGACTGGCATAACCTCTGTAGAACCTTGAAATGCTTCTTCAAAGCCCCTTCTTTGTTGCCCATTGTGTTGTGTTTGGTTGTGTTTTTTGCGGTTGATCCATAGACTGTAAATATCAACGGACGTAGTCACGCCTATCTACGCCGTTCAAACAAATGGGCCAAAAACTATGCTCTACTGGAGCTATCCAAAATGGCCGCAAGTGGTCCCGCCCACAAGAAAATTGTAAAAAAACGCATCAGGCTCCATTCATTTAAATTCACAGCGAGTAAACTAGAGTGGTCTAAAAAATTCACTCCCCTCAGCATTGACACACATGTGGAACGGAGCTTTGGGCCAAGAGCCAACTTTTGGACCATCCTGTAAAGACGTTTTCGAGAGGTCAGCTAATGCTATATTTTAGCATTGGCTAATTCTTCTTCTGGGTCCACCCCCATCGGCCCGGGGTGGTATTGCAAGCATGTCAGCGCACGTCATTTTGGCCACTTTTGAGCCGGGACCCACCCCCACTGGTTTGATCAGAGAATAAAACAGGAAATACATTGTTAACAAACACATAGGAGCCATTGGTCCATTGGGAGCGGGATGACAGATGTCCATAAATGTTTATAAATGTCCAATTCACTGTACTGGTGGGAAAAAAGTGAGAAACCTCAGGGAGAACTTTCACAGAGAGAGGGACTCGCTCCCACGGCAACAGACCTGGGACTCTTGGATTCAGGCTGTTGAACGAGGACAGAGGCTTTGTGGAGCAGAACTGAAAAGGTGGGGAGGCGACAGGTGCAGATAAAAGAGGCCGGAATCAGAGGTGCCATCATCGCGCCACGAAACAGACAATAGGACAGCGGGTGAATAGCAATGAAAGTTAAAGTGACAATGTCTCTCAGCTGGCCTGGCCTGATTCCCCATTTTGTGTGGATAGGGTTGTCTGGGCGTCTCTGCTCAAACTACTGCCCCCTCAACCCAGCAACGGATAAAGCGGAAGAAAATGGATGGATGGTTGCCGCCCAGGAGAACCCAAAGACAGCGGTGATCAAACCTTTTACCGCCATAAATGGGTTTTAAAATCTGGGGCGCCTAAATGTGTTTTCTGGATATGGAGAGGTCTTACAAATGTATGTTTTGTGATTATCTACAATGTTACTTGTATGACTTTGTTGTTGTGTCTGTTGTTTTTGTGAAGCACTCCAAGTCTTGCTTATAGGAACTATATGAAATCCAAAATTAAATGTTGCTTTGAGAAGCTATTTAGAACTGTTAAAAAGTGTTGGAGTATTGCTGAAATACATGCCCTCCTCCCGTGCATTGAGGACATTATGCTAATTTCTCCGGGTGTCTGGGTCCCATTGCTTCTCCTGTGTTCATTATAATAATTGCCCGGGCCTGGCTGAGAACGCAGAGAATGTGAATTTGAAACCGTTTTGACATTTTTTTTTCTTTCCTTCTTTCTCTTCTCCTCGTGCATTCGCCTACATTCAGGGAAATCCCAAAAAATGTTCCACGTGAACCCTAAAACAACAGCGAGCGGACGGGGATGGCTGTGTCTCTCGGGCTGTCGTCTGTTATGTCTTGGAATAATGTAAAACAGGTCTCGTCGAGTTGTGCCTGTGTCGGTTCTTCCCAGAGTCTGATCTTTGAAGCGGGGCCCAGTGCAGTGGCAGCAGTGGTCCTCATCCAAACACAATGTTGGAAAAGAGGGGATGACACTTGAGCGTCTGCGTTGCGTGGAAAAGAACACGTGCAATGTTTCTGATGAAATACAGTCTTCAATATTATGCATCATGTGTGTTCATTTTGGCCCTCAACAACGAGAGGCACCGAACGTTCTTTTTCCCCTATAAATAATAACTTTTTTTGCACAACAGAACGCTGTGAAAAAAATCAGACCACAACATATCTTTTAAACTCATACTAATATCTTTTTTTTTACACCTTTTATCTATTTTGCATAATTTTCAGAAAGAGCCTTGAGTAATTATTTGACACTTTGGGCTGAGAGCTGATTGATGGAGTGAGGATGGTCCTTCCTTTTTCCTGTTTCTGTCGGAAAAATCTGATCTAAAGATATGACTATGAACCAATTAACAGATACTAACACTGCTAATGTAAGCGCGTGCTAGAGTGCGCATGCGTAAAGAGCTGGGGAGATGTTTGAAACGGGCCGGGAGAGCAACGGTCGTGTTGGGCTGTTCATGAATAAACGGAGTCTGGTTATTTTATTCTCCAAAGATACTTCTGCCTCTGCTTCCTACCCAGCTTGCCCGTTACATTGGTGGCAGCGGTGTTGGCTGGACGTTCCTTCGGAATACTCGGGAATTGCAGTTGGCGTTATTTGGTGAACTATGTTTGGAAATTTTCATGGATCTGACGCCGGTATGGCTGAGGATGAATGCAAGTACGTACCTCCGTGGACCCAGGGGGTGTGCAATATCAGAGTGGACCTGCCTGCAGCGTTTTGTGGAGATGGACGTAAACTTTTCGCTACCTGGATAAAACAGTTCGAAGCGGCGGTCCGCGCTCAGACCCGGGGTGATGGGAGAAGCTATGCCGCGTCCTTAACCGCTCTGCTGCCCACCCGGCTGGATGGTGCGCCGTTTTTTGTTGTGGGACAGCCTGCCCTCGTCTGTGCAGTGTGATTTTGAACGGGTGAAGGAAAAACTCAATGAGGCTTTTGGACAGAAACAGTTTTTGCTGTATTTTCAGACGTGCGTCTCGGCTCGTCCCCGTGGGGCGAGCGAGAGCCTGGAGCTGTACGCTGCAGACCTTTCCCGGCTCGTTGCTGAAGCTTTCCCGGAGTATGACAAAATGGCACAGAATGGTGAGAAGTTCCGTCGCTTTCTGGCTGGACTTGACCCTGGGCTGCGGGCCAAATGCCACGAACAGGGCGCAACTGACTTGGAGGAAGCACTGATGATAGCGGGTCGATGCGAGCGCGCTAGAATGGCCCTGGGTGTGGGTCTACAGAGCGGACCCGGCTCCCATCCTGCACCAGCCACGGTGGCCTCTCTCTCCGCGGCTGAGGGGACAGCGCTGGGCACTTCCGGAGTGACGGGAAAGCTTCTCGGTGCTGTGGAGCGGCTTACAGACAGGATGGACAAACTACAGATGGAGGTGGTCAATTTGAGAGCACAACGGAGTGACCACACACCTCGCACTAGTCAAGGTTTTCCGTGTGCCTGCGAGTGTGGCGGATTTGGCTGCAGATCCTCTGCTCGTGAGCATCGCGTGGAGTGCAATGGTCGTGCACCGCGATACGGATCCAGGAATAACCGGGAGTGGTCCCCACAGGCGCAGGAGGATCGGGGCGCGGCGCCTGATTACCCTCACCGCCGTGAAGAGGACGAGACTCCCCGGAGAGGACGTTTTTCCGTGGAGCCAGAGTGGAGACGCGGTGTGAGATTTCTGTCACCCGCTCGGCGTTCACCTTCTCGGCGTTCCCCTTCTCTTCTCCAATCAGACGGAACCAGGGAAACGACCAGTAACTGGAGGTGAGGCCCGACCGCCAGTTTCGCAATCTCAGGGTCGCGGTGGACCTTCCACGGCGGAGATTGAAGCTTCCTCTATGGACTGCTGTGCTGTGGGTGAGTCCAAGTGTACATCATATATCAGGGGATCCATTGAGGGAGTGGATGTTCCTATACTCATTGACTCTGGTTCTAACGTGTCGTTAATCACAGAAGAATTTAAAATGTCAGTCCCTGCCTTGCGTAGACGTGTATTGAGTAAGGATTACATCTTTGCTCATGCTGTCAACGGACAATTATTGGACGCACTTGGCACGATGACTGTTCCCATGTATTTGGGGGGAATGTATGTGGAGCAGATGGTGCATGTTGTAAGAGGGGCGACACAACGAGTTTTGCTGGGTTTTGATTATTTATCAGAGTTTCATGCTGTTCTTGACGTGGGACATAGTGTATTGCACCTGGGGGGAGTGGTTATACCATTGTTACATGCTAATGACCTTATTCCAAGATGCTGTAATATCACTATGTCCACAGATGTCATCATTCCTCCTTACTGTGAAATGGTTGTCCCTGTGCAGGTGGAGGCTCCGCGCTCCATGGAACCGCACACTGATTTCTATATCGGGTATGTGGAACCTGAGACTCGGGATTCAATGGGGTTGGTGGTTGCACGTACAGTGGCTCCGGTTAAGGATGGACTCACTGTTGCGCGGTTACTTAACCCCACTGACCATGAGTTGAGGATGCATTCCGGTTCGCATTTGGGGGTCCTTCATCATGTCGATAACAGTGACGTTTTTGAGCCAACGGACGGTGTTGACCCTGACGCTAAGCCAGTGACTCTACCGGACTTAGGGGACTGTTACCTCACAGATGATCAAAGGCAGAAACTTAGTGAATTGTTAGAGAGACACTGTAATGTTTTCCGTACTGGGGGTGGATTCACTAAGGCTACGGGTGTGATAAAACACCACATTAACACAAACGGTAGCCTCCCTGTTCGTAAGAGGGCTTACAGGACGTCCCCTGACAAACGGAGGGAGATCGACAGGCAGGTGCAGCGACTCCTGGCAGATGGGGTCATTGAGGAAAGTTGTAGCCCGTGGTCCTCTCCTGTGGTGCTTGTGAGGAAGAAGGACAACACATGGAGGTTTTGTGTGGACTACAGGGGTCTGAATGCGGTCACGGTGAGAGATGCACACCCATTGCCTCGGGTAGATGACACATTAGATGCCTTGGCAGGGGCTACATGGTTCAGCACACTGGACTTTTCAGATGGATACTGGCAGGTGGAAGTAGCTGAGGAAGACCGTGAGAAAACAGCCTTTAACACCGGCCATGGTCTGTATCAGTTTCGGTCTATGCCCATGGGTCTCACTAATGCTCCGGCTACCTTCCAGAGATTCATGGAGCTGGTCTTGAAGGGGCTTCCCTGGCATATTTGTATGATTTATCTGGATGACATTCTGATTTTTAGCAGGTCGTTCAGTGAGCACGTGGCAGCCTTGGAGCAGATTCTTTCAAGGATTGGTGCGGCTGGCCTGCGGTTGAAGGCTAAGAAATGTCAAATGGCTCGTGACCATGTGGCGTTCCTGGGGCATGTTGTCTCGGCTGAGGGGCTGCGGCCCGACCCAAGGAACACATGTAAGGTGAGAGACTGGCCTATTCCTCGTTCTGCCACTGAAGTTCGTGCCTTCCTTGGTCTCTGCTCGTATTATAGGAGGTTTGTGAGAGGTTTTGCACAACATGCCTCCCCTCTCATACATCTCACGGGAAAAAACGTACCATTTACCTGGTCAGAGGAATGCCAGGAGTCATTTGAGTTTCTGAGAGACGCTCTTTGTGCTGAGCCGGTAATGTGCCATCCTGACTTTACACAACCTTTTGTGTTGTATACTGATGCGTCCCAAGTTGCTGTCGGATCGGTGCTTACGCAATCTGTTGAAGGACTGGAACGGGTTGTCGCTTATGCCAGTCATGCCCTTAGGGTGGCAGAGCGGAAGTGGTCGACATACGATAGAGAGCTTTGGGCCATTGTGTGGTCCATCCGGAACTTTAGGCACTATTTAGGTCTTCGACATCTTACCATTGTGACTGATCACAAGCCACTGCTTGGTCTTAGGCAGCTTCCCGTTGACAATGATAGGACGGGTCGACGCTGTCGCTGGGGCCTGGAATTGGATTCGTATGACTGGATTATTGTCCATAAGAGTGGGGTCCAGCATACTAATGCCGACGCGTTGTCTCGCTGTCCTGTGTCCCAGATTTTCATGGTGAGCTCTGAGACGCAGACTATGGATATGTCAACTTCGGTGGCTGTATGTGGGGTCGAAGCTTCTACGGAGGCTCCCCTAAGTGCTCAGGCATCGGATTCTTGTGAGCCCTCAGTCCCCCTGACGGGAGTGACCTACAAACCCTCTTTCAGGAAGGCTCCAACGTAAGGCGTCTGCAGCAAGAGGACCCAGATATTCGATCTCTGTTGGAGTGGCTTAGAGCGGGTGAGAGGCCGTCCTCAGTGAGGATTAAAGGGGCTGGTAAGGCTCTCCGTATTTTGTGGCACGAGTTTCCTCGCATGACCATGATTGACGGAATTGTGCACAGGGTTGTTGCCCTGTCTGATGTGGAACAGACATGGCAGGTTGTCGTCCATCGGTTCTGGTGCCGGAGGTCCTGCGTCTTCTTCATGGTGGGCCCTTGACTGGCCATTTGGCTGTGGAGCGGACCATGGCCCGTGCACGCGGGGTGTGCTTCTGGCCTTGTATGTATCGTGACATACGCACTTGGTGTAAGCAGTGTTATGCCTGTCAAAAGCGCAAGGCGCCTGTGCCTCACCATCGTGCTCCGATGCGGACGACGTTGGCACAGCGCCCGTTTCAGCGGGTTGCGGCAGACATATTGGAGTTGCCGGTCACGTCGAGAGGAAACCGCTATGTTCTGGTGGTGGAAGACTATTTCACCAAGTTCGTTAACATGTATGCTATTGCGGACCAGAGGGCTACTACCGTGGCAGAGTGTCTCTTTAACAATTTCATCTTGGAGCATGGTGTTATGGAGACCCTTCATACTGACATGGGGCGACAGTTTGAGTCAGACGTGGTTAGGCAGTTGTGTACATTGTTGGGTGTTAAAAAGACACATACCACGCCTTATAATCCTAAATCTGATGGCATGGTAGAGAGACTAAACAGAACGCTCATTGATCAGCTGGCCAAAACGCTACTTGCTTGTGAGGGTGAATGGGACTCGTTCTTATCTCAGGTTGCGTTTGCATACAATACTAGCGTTCATTCCAGTACAGGATTTACGCCCTATTTTCTTATTCATGGTAGGGAGGCTCGTGTTCCTGTGGATGTGTTTTTGGTTCCTATTATGCAGACTGGTCAGAGATATGACTCTATTGATGATTTTGTTTTTTCCCTTCGTAGACGTTTGGATGCTGCTTTTCGCCAGAGTCGCGATAACAGTGTGACTGCGAGTGACAAACAGAGGACCTTTTATGACACCAGAGAGAGACACAGGCCTTACGAAATTGGGGATTTAGTGTGGCTTCATGACCCAACTGAGAGCCGCCGTAAATTGGCCCCACACTGGAAGGGGCCTTACATTATTGAGCGGAGACAGGACCGTGACGACGTGGTTGGGGTTACATATGTGATTGGAAGTCCATTTGGGGAAGAAGCCCCCAAACAGACAATTCACTATGATCGACTACGTCCCTATTGTTTGCCGAGTCCTGTTCCTTTGGCTGGCCCACCGAGAAGTGCCGCTCTAAGTACACAGGGCCCTGTGACCTACGATGCACTCTCCTCACACGGTGAGCCTGCTGTGTCCACCCCTTCGCCAGAGAGGGAACAGGACCCTATTGGTCGTCAGGTGCAGGTGTCGCGTTCTGGACGACACAGTAAGGCGCCTGGAAGTTATGCTGACTATGTTATGGGTTAAGGTTCTGATGTTGTGTAACAGGTTATGTATGTTATGCTTGTTATTGTTTTTTTTTTCCCTCTTCTTATGTTATTGTATTGAAATGGGGACATTTCATGTGTAAGGGGGGGATATTGTAAGCGTGTGCTAGAGTGCGCATGCGTAAAGAGCTGGGGAGATGTTTGAAACGGGCCGGGAGAGCAACGGTCGTGTTGGGCTGTTCATGAATAAACGGAGTCTGGTTATTTTATTCTCCAAAGATACTTCTGCCTCTGCTTCCTACCCAGCTTGCCCGTTACACTAATAATAATAATGCTGAGGCTGTGTCTTGAGATGCTTCTGAAAATGATCAAATATCACTTAATTGGTCAAAATGATGTGAAAAGAAAATATCAATCAATCAATCAATCAATCTTTATTTATAGGGCGCTTTTCCTGCACAGGGCAACACAAAGCGTGTGAGAGAATTAGAAAGAGTTTGATTTTCTACATATGAGCTTCTTGCACAGTTTGATTATCTATGTAATACACTTGGAGGAGAAGGGATTTACTCTGTTAACAAAGGCTGAAGAGTTTTTATATCAGTTTGAGTCGGTGGTGTGCCTCGTGAATATTTTCAATGAAAAGTGTACCAAAAAGGTTGGGGAACTCTGCTACATATCTCAGCTTGTATCTCAGCTAACCATCAAACAGTGAAAATGTCTTGACAGATGAATGTGAATGACCCAGACTTATGCTTCTGCCTATTTGTCATTGTAACCATAGAGAGAAAAGACAAGTTTTACCTTGTCTTTTGTCTCAATGTAAACATAACAAATCCAAAAATATGTAAATTAGGTTAAACAAAGAATGCAAGTTTGAGGCACAACTTTTGAATTGAATGAATTGGTGGAAGAATGTTGCATTTTCTCTTATGGTTCATATGAAATGTTTAGGTATACAGTATAAAAGGTGGTATATATCGTAAAAGAAACAAGACATGAATCTCCTCCTTCAGTCAAACCCGGGGGAGGGGCTCGGTGCCGGTCGTCAGAGGACTGAGGGGAGAGCGATAGTGGAGTGCGCATATCAGGATATAAATAACTTCAATATGCATGAGCTGTGTAAAGTTGTGAGTGTGTAAATTTTATGTTTAAATATATCCATCGTAACTGTTTAAACCTGAACACAGTCTTTTTATGGCACCACCCATGTGTGTATTTCACTCTCATGATAATCACCATTTCTAGTTACAGAACAAGACAATACAAGAAAGAATAAGTTACAAAAGTCATATTTTATTCATAAAATAATCAAATGTACAATCACAATGCCAATTTCACTCACTGTTGTCATCCCTTAAAAAAGTTGTTTGTGAAACGTACCAGCGGTGTCTGAGGGAGGGACCATCAGAGGCTTTTCCTGACAAGAGTTCATGAGTAGAGCAAAACAACAACATGTTACATAAGGAAAGGCAAATGTTACATGGAGCTCATTAAATAATACATTAGAAACTTGACTGAAATCAAAGAAAGAAACAAAACCTCCTGAAAAACTCAACACAAACAAAAACAGATGAGGATGGATGTCAGTGCTGCGTCGCTGTGTAAACACTTTTAAAAAGACCATTTCCTGGTCGAGGCGAACAGAGAAAAGGGTTTCATTTTGCCCAACACGTGGCCATGGTTACAGCGGGCATTAAACTAAAGGACTGTAATCAGTTGTCTTCAGTTACAGCAGAAATACAGACCATGGGGAAATGTTGTGTTCAGTTGCAACAGGAGCCCGGCGGCTGCGTGCAAACCTCCATCAAACACTTCCACATGATCCTGGACCAAACCATTCTCAGCTTTTCAATTGGGTCAAAGTGTTTTAAATTCATGTTTAATATCTAATTGTAAGAAGGTTTTGGGTTCAAATGAACAAGTGCTGAGAGAGATGGGGCGGCACTGTAAATGTTCTGTATCATACATGTTCTGTGTTCTACATGTTCTGTATCATACATGTTCTGTGTTCTACATGTTCTGTGTTCTACATGTTCTGTGTTCTACATGTTGTCCATGTGTGTCTGCTGAAGTGGAAGCAGAAGAATGCTTCATGAATCAGACAGTCTCCAGTTTGCCGCCTGCAGCTGCTCCTCATCCTCCCTTAACGCTGTGACATCATTAAAATGATCATTTTAAATACCAGACTGTCCTCAACGTGGTGTCACTTTTGTGTTAACTTATGACAAGAGCAAGAAATAGATACAAACCACTTTGGTAAACAAGTACAAATGCAGAAAAGACAAATAAATAATGCAAAGGAATGTTATAGTTTTGTCTCACAGACTGAAGACACTAGTGTCACACACTAAGACTCACTTTTTCAAAGTTATCTTCTGCACATGATCAGAGTTCTGCTCCGGGCGTCGTGTGGTGAGAGCAGACTGTTAGTTCCAGGGAGAGGATCCATCCTGAGGAATAAAATGACTAAATATCAGCGTCTGCCTCTGGCGTGGCACTTCAGACCCATCAGACCCATCTCCAGGCGTCAAGACGACTCCAGCACCAATGAACCATTTCAGAGTTCTGTCCGCTCCTCAGGAAACAAACCAAACAAATGAAGCAGAATTTCCCAAACGCATAATTACTTTCTCCATTGAAGCTCTTTCATGGTGCGTTGCCAAGAGGCACAATACGAGTTATTGCTCAATAAATACCAAGGATTCATTCTAAGCCAAATGTGTGTCAACGCCTAGTATGGATCTGGGCTCTTAATACGAGGAGCAGTTAGACTGAAAGTTACTCCAGAAAAATATGTTGCAATACTCTTTGGAAGTTACAATATTCAAAACCATTTAAATCTTTGGGTGCTACAAAAATTAAACCTCTCACTCTTTAAATTACCTATCAAAACAATTCATTTAACTTAGTCATATTAGATGCATCAAAAATATTCAGATTACACTTCTTCGACTCAAGTTTCAAATACAATACATAATTTATGGCTTTATAAGTTAAAACAAAGAAAACAAATCGCCGCAATCTACATCCATGTTTCACCCACAATATACAAGTTAAATAAAGAAAGAATGATTGTCCATACCACTTAAAGTACCTCTCCTCCACTCCTCAGTGCTTCACTTGTCTTAATATTGTCATAGTACAAAACAGCCCAGCAAAAAGCCTTACCAAAGTCCATACACTGTACAAAAAACACAGTCTTTTACAAATAACAGCGAAGCATCTCCGCTTTGTGGATTATGAAAAGAGATATGTAGTTTCCATCCACTCAGACTTAGAAAAACTAAATGACTTTGAATCTGTGTCAATATTGCTGCAGATGAGTCCCTTTGTAGTGCTTTTGGTCAAAACACACGCGACAAGTCTGAACGAGTCCTGGGTTTTTCTTTGAACCTTCATTTCCAAACTTTAAAAAGGCGGAGATAGTTGGAGATAGACGCGCCTGCGAAAAAATCCCCTCCGACTAAAAACATTGTGCTTTCGAACCTTACTGGGCTTACGCTGCCGTTATTTATTGATGTATTTTTCTTCAATAGGGCCTCCACACCGCCTCATCCATGCGCCCGCCATTGTTGAGCACCGTGGGGGAGTTGCTGTGGCTCCCGTCCCCCTCCACGCCTCCCTCAGTCTGGCTGGGCAGATTGGGGTTGACCAGGGTGCTGCCCGTGGACGCGCTGGTGCAAGGCGGGATCATGCGGGAGGGCGACCTGTCTCCGCCCGGGACCATGGGGAACTGGTAGGAGCTGGACGAGGTGCCGTAGTAGAGGTACGGGGTGCTGCTGGTCTGGTGGAAGGGCACGTTCTGGTTCTGGGTGGAGCCTGGGTAAGGCGGGGGCAGGTAGGTGTGGTAGTGTGCGCTGCCCAGGGACATGGGGGAGGTGACGGGCGGGGTGTAGGTGAAGCCGGGCGGGTAGTGCATGCGGGGGCTGGGGAAGCGCGAGTCAGCCAGCGTGGACAGGCTCGGGAACTGGCGCTCGAACTGACCCGAGAACGGACTGAGGTCGGAGGAGCCTGCGGAGAGAGCACAGAGAATGGGAGATGGTTAGACAAAGATAAATGTCTCATAAATTACTAGAACTGAGTAAAGTGAGTAAGTGATATTTATTTGTACAGCGCATGTTTTTTACAGACCAAGGTTACCAAAATCTTTTGAGATTTCCAATATGGTTACACTCTCAGACACGGTGATGACAGAAGCGAGACGCCGAACACACAGGCGCATCAAAGCCCCCAACCAACATTCAGACCTATTGTACATGTTTTTTTTGTGGTGAAGGAAACCGTAACACCGAGAACATGCAAACTCCACACAGATAGGCCTGGATGTGGGGTCTGGAGGGCTCTAATCCATAAAGCAAATCAACTTTTTTGAGCTTTTGACCCTTTTTCAAATATTGTTACTCAGCGAAAACAGACCTGGAGTTGTTTTTAGAGCCATCCATGCTAATGTCAGGAACTTGAAGCACAATCATGTAACTCTGCCCCGTCTGTCTATAAGCTCCTGTACCACTATGACATATCACTCACACTTTTTAAACTTAAATATTAACCCTAAATTAATTCTCAGGTGAAATTACATTCTTTACAGTCATTGCCGTGTTTACAGCTGGTAATTTTCAAACTACGATAAAACAAAAATGATGTGCTTGATGAAGGCCTAAATGTCGAAAGTTCATATATGCAATACATTTTTCTTCGCAAGTCAGACGTGTGCGGGAATAATTCTGTGATTCAACTGTCGGCTGCACAGGCCTCTTCTACAACACGGCTAATCTAAAGTAATACATGTGCATCTTTCCATTTTTCACTAAAGTGACAAAGAAAATAGTTTCATTATCATCAAAAAAATGCCATTCAATATTTAAGGCTTTGCCCAACTGTTTTTGCCTCTCCTGACTCTGTATAAAAAAATCTTATATTACACAAAACCGCTGGAAACGCTGTCATGTGTAAAAACCGCAGACTGTCATAAACTCATGAAGCCAATATGAAACACACTTCGATTATTCCAAGACACAATTTTTAGGTTTATCAAGAAAAAAAGTTTCAGAAGCAGCATATTTAACTAGTTCCTAGCCATCAAATCAGTTTCATCGCAGCTTTAGATGAGAGAAATCGTAGCCAATCAGCTCTCAGCCTGTAGCGTGGGCTCTATATGCAAAAGATGAATGGAATAAGAGGAAGCATGTTGTGTGGTTCTGAGTCTTTCACTAAATGTTGCTTTTATAAGACTTTCTTGGGGCAAATAGTGTAAAAAATAAATAAATAAATAAATAAAGGGAAGCTTCAATATGCGGACAGCTCAGGGTCTGGTACTTTGTCAGGCCTTTATAAAATTACGTTTGAACATTTTCTAAAAAGTCAATCTAAAAGATAAACGGCAAAATGAAGGTTTAATATTGAATCGGATTATACTCTAAACTTCATATCTTATACAATTCCAACACAGAGCGATAAAAACTCAATTAGCTCAAGGCGAACGGAGAACTTGAGCAGCGACACATAAGCTGCAGTAACATTACTATTTATTACATCAGTATTTGTCAAGCCGTTTCTGTTTTGAAGTGTTGTCAACAGCAGGAGGCAGTCTTGCTGTTTTGTACAACGCACCATAGACACACTCAGAACTCCCAAATATGTTTACATTTCTGAGCTCCCATGCTTCTGTCTCTTCTGTCTTTTAAAATAGATAAACATAGATAAAATACATTAAGCCATCACGAGAAAAAAAAAAAGGTATAAATGAACAAGTTTAGCTATTGACACAAACGCATTCTATTCCCTTATGCCGATTTACTCAGATGGGATTATATTAAATGTGGCTTTGGCTTCATAAATTGTTTAACACTTTGTCTTGGAAGAGTAATTGACTTTAACGAACAAGTCCCACGAGTACTGCAACGGTAGTAAAGTCAATTGTACAGACATTCCCAGCCGGATGTGTGCGAAAAGCGGCTTAATGGATTCTTGCGGGCGCATTTATGCATTCTTAATTGGACTGTAAATATTATCCCGTTCATCAGCTTTGTGTTTTCCTCACTTGGAGTTTCTTTGGCATCTGATAAGCTACCAAACAAAGATGGCGCACATGTGGCCGCGGTCGAATCCGTTTATGTATATTTATGTTTTGGAGAGTGTGTCTGCGCATGTTTAGATGTCGCGGCATAACTGTTTACGCATGCAAATATGCGAGCGAGCGGCTATAGGCTCGGTGTGTGTGTGTGTGTGTGTGTGTGTGTGTGGGTGAGTGTGTGAGGGGGAATAGAAAAAGCAGTTGGGATGAATCAGAAATAGAACATGTGGTAACGCTTTGAGCCCCAACAGTTTCCATGAGATCTTATAATGAGGCAGGACTACGCATTGATGTGGCCGTGCGCACCCCTCCCACTGGCTCCAGCGCGAGTGTGTGTGTGCATCTCGGCCTTCATCCCTTTAAAAAGAAGTACCCCCCGAAAAAACCGCTAACTGTTTGCGGTGAGATCGGTGATGTGGCTGGGGAGATCTTCGCCGCTCCACCTCGCTCCCCAAATTCACACTCGGCGCGTGCTCCTGTCTCCGCTGGGGCCGGCTGCAGTGCTCTTATCATAAATCAACAGGCGTCTTCGGTGTCACCGCGTCTGCAGTGTGAAGACGGGGGCGGGGGGCTGTTTATGTGGAGGGATGGTCCGCTGTAGCTGACAGCACATGTAGGTAATTAGAACTGTACATACTTCCACATTCACATGTCAGAAACAGGGAAATGACCTGAACTGGTGACCTTGATCACAACTTGAAGACAAAATGGATGGGTCATAATCTTATACTCCACTTCATCTGCGACACTGTAAAATAGTTTGTGTTTTCTAGTCATATCTAATGTAACTGCTAGAGAGAATCTGATCAAAGGTCTGTTAAACAAAAAAGTGGCATGAGTGTGGGCACATGTGGACAAAGCGCATCAACAGAAGGTCACAGTGACTGGAACCAGACTGGAGCTGCAGATTTCCAAATGAGTACATCACATCCGACTTAATGAACTTTTGTAACAGAGACTTAGTGACTGACATTTGGCCACCGGAGCTGCAGTGTCAGGAGGTGTGTGTTCAAAGTTTGCACAAGCGCGTCCATATCAGCTTCTGCTTGTACTTGTCGCCATGTTCTGTGGCTGGATAGTGTTACGCTGCAGCCTGCAGAGGTGTCAACATGATCTGTAGATCTGAGAGCCTTAGTCACATCACTTAGGATGCTTTAAGCGCTGACGGTTCCTCTGTGTTAATACAAGTGCACGTGAACATGCGTGCACACGCACACGCTTGCATGTCACTTTGAGAACAAAGCCCCTGCTCAGAAGATGAAAGCTACAGGAGAGAGAACTAATCAGAGCTGACACGTCTGAAAGCTGTTCTAATGCACAGTCACACTCAGGGAGTGGCCCTACTGCACCAACTCATGGCATCGAGTCAAACAGGTGCTGCAGAACTGTCCCGCGGCAGCGCATCAGCCACAAACACAGACAAATTGGAACACAGCTGCTGCCGTTGGTACAAAAAAAGACTACACGCTAATGCCATTACCCAGAATGCCCTGCGAGATTGGCGTATCGCTGTAAAGACACTTTATTTGTCAGTCACAAGGCTGTTATTATGCCCGGGCCTGTTATTACCATGCTCCACTGGGATCAAAGGCTTGGAGCAGGGAAAAAAGGAAACAATGATTTTTTTTTTCTTTTCAATGTTTGAAAAAGTGACTCCAAACTTCTCTCGAGTCTGAAAACATGCCCAGCTCTTCACGTCCAGTTATGAGAGAGTGCCACTAGCAGCAGAAACTACATTTTCCTGTGGCATAGTTAAAATTGAAATATTGTTCTAGCAGTATTTCAATAAAAGACTGGTTTAGTGTCTCTTATGGTGATGGCCCAGTCCAGGAAATGGCCTGGGACTGGATGTGAATGGTCACTTTATATTTTATGTGTGTCCTGGTTTCTTGTTCCTTGGACCTTTTCTATCAATTCGGCCAAACGTCACACAAAGTGGTGGTTCTACCTGGCAGCCGTCTGGGCCCGTCGGTGGCGGAGGGCAGGCCCGTGGCGCGGCTGGAGGAGAGGGGCGCAGTGGAGTGCACGGAGGGGGACGCCATGGGATTCAGGTAGGACGGGTACGGCTGTTCAAAGGCCCAGGGAGGAGAGGACTGGGACAGATGAGGGTCTGGGGCACATACATACAGGCACAGTGGGACAAAACGCACACACACAGAGAAAGAGAAGGATTACCTTGACGTTGTGTTCACATCACCATCGGATATTGCATTGGGAGGCATTTTGTAACACATCTGGCAACACGGTCCAATCAGAATACTGTACTCTGTGTATTTTCTCAATAAGCTGTAACAGGTCAATAAATTAATCGCAACTTGATGCTGAGAAGAGTTTAGGACTTTTGGGGTTTTGAAGTGAATCACTTAATATTTGTTTTGGTCAAATCCCTTGTTACATCACGTTTGAGATACAAACAACTAATTGATTAATCAAATGACTGATTGACCTACTAATCAATTATAGAAATAACTGTTACTTTTCTACTAGAAGTAAAATAAAACATTTTGGTCACATTGATGTTGATCACCACAATCTAATATTGTGCATTTTGAGTGAGTATCAGTTTGAAGTATGATGTAACATCCTTGGTAATAACACATCTCATGTTTGCCTGCAGAGCCATCTTCCTGTTTGCCTTATAAAACATGATGTTACATCCGAGAGCCGGGCTGGCACTCGCCTAAAAGATAAAATAGCTAAACACTAAAAAAACCAAAAGCAATGACCAACAACATCCTCTCAAATGCAAAGAGCATATTTATATATATAATATATATTTATATATATATAATATATATATTTATATTCAGGGGATTTTAGTCAAAAGAGAAGCTTTTACCACACACTTGTCACTATGTCTTACTGTACTGTCCCTGTCAATTAAATACATACAAATAATTGGTTAAAGATTAATAAAAAGATGAATACAACTGGAGGGTCTGATATGGATTGGTTATCCCGATAAATGAGCCTGCTGCAGGTTTTGACCAACTTGGACACAATCGGTCAATAATAATAATAACAATAGAAATAACTAAAAAAATAGTTTGCATTTAATGTAGTATTATACATATCATGATACGAGACGCCAAACTTGCGTGGGAAAGCCAGATCCCGTCAGACCGCCCCACTGTGGCATCTGATGTTCTCCCATCCCAGTACTAATCAGGCTTCAGAGGTCTGACGGGATCTGGCGTTCACATGCGGATAAGGCCACAATTTTTTATATTTCTATCATTATTATAATTTAATTGTTATGTTGTATTTTTATTTTAAACAACAATAATAGAAAGTGAATATCTTATATATGTCACATTTGAATCTAAAAATAAAAAAAAAATGGGTAAAACTCGGGATCCTACAAAGCATGTACTGTAATTAAGTAGGAACATATCTAATTCGCATTTTTAGTGGAATGTGTTTTAACTGCCAATGGGTCGGAAACAAATGAATCAAAACAAATCAATCATAGTTCTAATTTACGGATGCAATAAATATGATAATAAGTGTTTGATATGAAAGTGACTGTTCACTGGACTGTTGTGCGAGGAGAAAAGTTATGACTCGGGCATGAATACACAATCACACAGGAAACATGAGAATTTACGAGTCATTTATCTACTCACGCTGGATCACTTTAGCCTCAGATTATAAGGGTCGAATTCAGCCAAATCACATCAACATGCCTTGCACATCACAATACTAACAAGATGAATCACTTGCAAAATTATTGTTTTTATTCAAATGATCCAAATCCAGTATCGTCTTCGATGGTACTTTGTGGGAAGTTGAGAACCACTGCCTTAGAATGTTATGTTTGCATCAAAAGTAAAATAAAAAAATCACAAATATAAGTATCAAAACTAAAGTATTCACAACGAGACAAAATCTGAAATTTCCAGAGAGGTTTATAAATATTTTGATCTATAAAGAAAAGTAGTTTTGTGATAAGCACTCATTACTCTGACTTGGAATTAGGGCTGGGTTCGGACAATTTGTTTGTTTGTTTGGAATAATTATTACGTGACATTCAGGTCAGGATAACCTCCTGGATCCACCTCTGTAGTTTAGCCGAGTCGCAAGTTTCAACAACAGGGCAGTTCCCAAAACGCACTAGTGCATGCAATACTTTTGGGATTAATAACTTGAATATTGAGCTTCTTTCCTTAAACTAGTTACCTTTGATTTACATTGACTTAAATGGCAATATATCTTGCTATTGTATAAAACCTTGATTTAGATTCTTTAGTGCTCAAAGGCCTGTATTCTACTTTAGATCGGCTCTCACATACTTTCATATCGTCCACATGTGTTGGCAATGCATTGAACAGGTCTGTGCACTAAACATTCTTAAAGAAGCTATACCCGATTTTTTTTCTAAGTAGTTCATAAAAATGCTTTTTACTACATACAAGTTGTATCATAATTAGGGCTGTCCAAAATAGCGCGTTATTAACGCGTTAACGCAAATCAATATTAACGCCGTCATTTTTTTTATCGCGCGATAAAAAAAAAATAAAAAAAAAAAAAAAGATTTTTTTTTTTTTTTTTTTTTTTTTTTTTTACTTTTTATTGCAGACAAACACATAGAAACAAAGAAAAGGACTAGTTCAGATACATTGTAGACAGAGATTACAAACAATATGTAGTTGGAGATACAGGGGGCCAAAGAAGAAACCCAGAAGGGCACATAGGAGGGGAGGGGGGGGGGGGGGGGGGACATGAAGTGGGAGATGGGGGGAGGGGTTAATAAAAAAGGCAATACAAGCAAACAGTATACAGTCATAGATATACCGAAGGTAAACAGAAACAGCATAGAGCAGTGTCTCCCAAAGTGGGGTCCGCGGCCCCCTGGTGGGCCGCGAGGGTACTGCAGGGGGGCCGCGGGAGGTCATAAAAAAAATAAAAAAATAATATAATTATTTAATGTTAAATTTATAATGTTTTGTTTGTAATATTAAAATATTTGTGTTCATTATTTGACTTGAATAAGCCACTGTAATCATTTTTGTATTACAATGTTTGTAGCAGAGGCTATTTCCCCAAAATAAAATAACCAGAAGAGCCTATTCTTAATGTTGTCTTCTTGGTTATTATTTTGGGGGGCCACGCAGACCCATCAGATTTTTAAGGGGGCCTCGGTGTTACTGAGTTTGAGAATGGCTGGCATAGAGTATTTACATGAACAAATTTACAAAATATTTACAGATTGTTTATCATCATCATAATGACACCATGATGTTTCTATACAGTCTATGGTCTATACCCACACATACACACACACACCCACACACACACATTGAAGGGGCTTTTTGTTACCAATTATTTATTTTGTCATCCATTTATTGATGATTTTGCATCAAATGTTAGTGTGTAATATAACACTACACATTGTTTTCAATAAAAAAAGCAATTGCACACAGCACGCAAATGTGTGACTAATTTGCGATTAATCGCGAGTTAACTATGACATTCATGCGATTAATCGCGATTAAATATTTTAATCGTTGGACAGCACTAATCATAATACATAATTTAATTGAAAACTTGAGGTCATTGATTCAGCTGTGTATGAAATTTATGCCGTGAAAAGTGCAGAGTAGAGTCTGAGCGGGCCGCTCTTTCTCCTCCGCTCACAGAACGAGCAGTGAACAGACTACGTCCTCTAGCCTCTACAGCGCTGCTTAACACCAGGGCTTCGACTTCAAAATTCGAATATAATTCTAAAATAAAAAAAATATATATTCGAACAAACATTAGACAGCCCTTATAATTCGAAATGTATTTAATGACTGCAAATAAAATAGTTAGCTCCCAAAAGTTTCACCAGGACGTGCTAGGCAGGTAACAGCTAAGCTATGGTAACTTCCGGGTTTTTCGCGATCGCTTTTTGTCAGGTTAAAACAGTATTTTTGTCATGAAAACGTTGACAGCAAATTCTGAAATCGTCCGCGCATGCGTGTTAAGGATGTATATGTGTACTGTATTGTCTGATTAACGTTTAATGGTGTTGATTGATAGATATGTATTTGTTTATTGAGCGTGGCTAGCTCCGCTAGCTTCTCTACACAGACAAGTGTGCAGAAAAACTGCACAATGTAGTGACAGGTGCTGATAGCTTGTACTTGCGGAGTAATGGCAGTATTTTACACACCTGAATTACAAACAGATTGCATTGTCAAAGGGCAGCGGTCATTATTGATTTGAGAGTTCTGTTATCAAGAAAAAATGATCGGAAGAATTACATTCACGTCAATGGAGTGTTCTACTGCTGTGAGGAGCTGTATAATAAATTATAATTAAATATTAGAATATATTCTAATGTTTAAATGAATACATTCGGACACGAAACTAGCGGAATTCTTTTACTTATATATTGTATTAGCAGTGCATTGCTTCTGTACCATTTCATCAGTGATTGTTGTACAGCTTACAAGAACTTGTGCAAATGCTAATGTTAGCATACATATCAGATCGCAAATAAAACTACAGTATGTGGCTCCGTGGGACGAGAGCGTAGGGGAAATGAGAAGCCATTGAGCGAGTAGGGGGGCGGTGCTAAACATTCAAACATTGCAGAAACGGGTATAGCGCCTTTAACTCTTTTCCTTTAACTTAACTTCAGCACAATTAAATCTCATATTCCATTTTGAAAAGGCCCTCCATATATCTATAACTTCTGCACCTCCATGTATGAAGGCACAGACCAGACCGAGCTGAAACGCCTCCAGGGCCTTTAAAGTACAGGAGCTCATCTTCTGACAGGAAATAAGCGCAGGGATCACATCACTCCTGTTCTGAGCTCCCTCCACTGGCTCCCTGTCCATTTTGGAGTTTGTTTTAGAATTGTAAAGATGCTTTTGTTATTATTGGACCTCTTCCAGCCCCTTGTCCCTTCCAGAGCTCGTCACTCAGCTCATCAGCATCTTCTGGTTGTGTCCAGGACCAGGCTGAGGACCAGAGGAGGCCTTCTCTGTGGTCAGTTTTACCCTGTTTTTACCCTTGCAAGAAGAGCAAGTCACTCTAGCAATGTAATTCTCTCTTGAAGACATAATAATAATAATGCATCGGTTTTATATAGCGCTTTTTTAGACACTCAAAGATGCTTCACATGTCATTATTCTTTCACTCCATACACGGTGGGGCACACTGACATAAGCGAGGCAACCAGTATGTGCCATCGGCCCTTCCATCCACCACCAACCATTCACACACACACCAGACTCATTCTAGACAATGGGGGTGAAGTGTCTTGCCAAGGACACAACGACAGCAGACAGTGGGAGTCGATGGTGAAGGTCGGGCTCGAACCCACGACCCTCTGGCTCAAAGGCCAATGCTCTACCAACTGAGCTACTGTCGCCCAAGACGCACCTTTTCTTTCTGGCTTTTTAGAGTTGGAGAGATTAATCCTGGTTTGATTTGATGACTGTTGTGATTTTGGTACAAGAATACATTGAAATGAACTTAACCTGTAAAGTAACCTGGTGAATTCCCTGGCTCATGCACCGAAGAAGAAAGCGGCCCCTTCACTGTAAATTGAAATGACATAGTGCAACTTTAAAGCAATATACGAGAAAGCATCCTCAAATGACACGTTGAATGTGACTGACAGCTGTAATGAAAGCTAAGCCTGAAATGGCACACTTTATTTTTCCACGTGGTGCCATGTTGCCATTTTTGCTCTAATTTGACAGCTCTGCAGCGCTGGCGAATCATCCGAGCCCTTTCTAGCGTTCCTTGGGCTTAACCATCCCTCAAACGAGCGCTTGAGCGGAGCCAGGGCGTAAGTCGGAGCTAAACGCTGCTATGTGCGAGGTGTGAAGGATCGGGTGGCCGCCATGTTGAAGCGTGACAGATGGAGTTTCTTTCCTGGACGTGGTCTGCTAGAGTGACCGAAGAGGAGACAGATGATCCCAGAGGCCAGGCCAGCTACATGTGTCCTGCTTTACTCTCAGGAAGAAGGGCACCTCTCTCTTTCTCATAACCGCCGCCTTGAAATGAGTTGATCAAGTCGCGTTGAGGGTACTCAATGTTTTAGAAATATGTCTGTCAATCCAATTTAAGAAGAATGTGTTATGCTTTTAAATGACACCCTTCTAATCTACTTCTAAAGTGATGAATGCAGAATTCTGATTTTTAGGAGTAATATATGCATGTTTTAGCCATTTATATTCTCCAGAAACTGCCATTGCTAATATTTTTCATATATAAGCCCTGTCTCATCTTACTATTGCATCCATGTCATGGTTAACATTCTGACTCAAGGGTGATTCGATGATTAGAATGATGATTTGTTTTAAACGGGAATTATGCAACTTTTTATGTGGAAAAGTATTTGCATAATTGACTTGATGACGGACCAGTGGCTCGATGAGCGGTCAGCCCTTACTTCCAGTCACAGTGGATTCTAGGATACTCTAGGATCAAATGGTTGGAAGGGTTTCTCGGCTGAGGCACCCCCACACATCATCCATATTGAAATTTATAATACAGCAAAATATACCAGAGTCATAGAGAACCACCCTATGTCTACTTTAATTAATCTCTGAGTCACAAACGATTTTGGAATTCTTTGGAATATCTGACTGAGGTAATGACGAAATGCCAAGATTTGTCTTGAATAATTTTGCCAGCGATCGCCAGGCTTTTGGCTGAAAAACAAATGGCTTCTCTCTTCTCTGATAAAAACTTAGTGTCTTTATTTGTTGATGATCATTAATAATATTTGATTAAAACAATTTTTTATATAATAATCCATAGACTTCATAAACTGTATTCTGTTAGTCTCTGTGGATCTCCCAATGTGGCCTAAATTGATCTACTGTCATGGTTTAAGTTTATTTCCTGTTTTATTTTGAAATGTGTTATCCCTGTGTCTTCTTTGGTTGTACTTCCTGTTGTCTGATTAGCTGCCCTGCCCTCATCTGTCTCACCTGTGTCTCGTTAGTCTTGTATTTAGCCCTGTGTGTGTTCCTTCACTCCCTGTTCCGTCATTGTCTTTCCTAGTCTGTTTTAGTTCTGTCCGTTCCCTGTGTTTTTGGTAGGTCTTGATTTGTATTACTTTCATTAAATCCATCATTTTGCAGTTTTTGCCTTTTGGGCCTCATTTGTTTTTCACCCACGTGACATCTACAATCTTAAATTACAACAGATCAAAGCAAAAATACGTCTTAGCAAAGAAATTTAAACGTCACAATAATTATTTGACAGATTACATAAACAAGTTCAATATTATATCCACTTTAATCAGCTTTTTGCATACCATTGCATTATGAAACCGTCCAAAACCCTCCACCCATGAAGCTATCTGCTGTTTATGTAAACCCTTCGCCTGATTTTTTCACATAATTTCCCCCCAATTACTCCTGCCAGTAAAAAATGCAATAAATATGTGTTAATTAAACGTCTCTCTGTCCTTGGAGGTTCGCCATTACAATGTGAAACCATGATTAAAGCTCAGAGTAAAACATCTTTTCACTGCAGACAAAAGCCTCCGTGCTATTATAGAGCGATAGGAACAATCAATCTCTCAGTGAAAGACATGAAAGTCACTTTGAAGACCAATTCATTCACGTTGGAGTTTTTGACTGGGAGTGTCCATTGAAACAGGAGATTCAAAGTCATTTTTATGGTTTATTTGGCTCCTATACTGCTGCAAACTTTTGTCACTGATACCCTGGATTACATTACTAGTAGATACTGCAAGTTTTCTATTATATGGTTATTATTCTCTGTGAAGCAAGAGGAAAAAAAATGTCATAATTTTTCCTTAAAGGACAACTCACCCTCAAATCCACTTTTTTTTGCTGATAAACGGTATAAATGAGTGTCCAATAGTGTTGTCTACATATCCTGGTCATAATCTTGTCACTTTGGTGCAAATTAGTTGAAAGTTAAACTTTCTGCCTAAAACCGTCTGTGAGGCGCCATCTGCTGGCGACCTGTATTACTACATTTGAATTTTGAATCTGGCGCCAACACTGGCACAGAAGTTGGACCTGACGTCTGCAAGTTGGACCTGACGTCAGCAGCCCCCCGCCCAGAGCAATGTAAACGGCCCAGTCTCGTTCACGCCCCCTTTAGTCCTCCAGGCTACGCCCATTTAGAGGAAGATTTGAACAGGAAATGTGAGTAACGTAAGCTCCGAGGAGCGGGGGTGAGAACCACTTTAAAGCTGGTGCACAAGAGTTTGAAGCCACAAAAAAATAAAAAATAAATAATAAAACCCAACTAGGACCTGGTTCTATACAAGTTTCATTCCATTTTCACTAGGGCTGTCAAACGATTCATTTTTTTAATCGAGTTAATTACAGCTTAAAAATTAATTAATCGTAATTAATCACATTTCAAACTATTGGCAAAATTATACCATATTTTTCTGTAAATGGTTGTTTGAATGGAAAGATAAATGACATCATAGTGAACATATGTACTGTATTTGTTTATTATAACAATAAATCCATATAAAATGGAATTAACATTTTTAACATTCTGTCTTTTTGTTTAGACTCAGACCAAAACCATTGTTTGTTACAGATGAGGGACATTTCAAATAGTCTGAAATGCAGAATGTCATTAAATCTGTTTGATTTGCTCACACCATTACTTTTTTTGGCACAACTAACATGAACTGGTAGTGGAATGGAAAATTAGGTACCTCAGCTTTAATTTAGCGAGTGCGCTTCGGGAGAAGACACGGAGGAGACTGAGGCTCCGCAGTCCAGCTTCAGCGCTGTATATATTGTGTGCATCGGTTACGCAAAGACACGTACGCACACTAGAGAATAGTTCTGTAATAGTTCTGTGCGTGGTCTTGGATATGATCCCATTACGCAGCGCCGTGATCTCAGCCGCTGGAAGTGGGAACTGTCCAGAGCGCTGTCGCGCCCGCAGCTCATCATGCAGAGTTCATACAGGAAACTACAAGTGCTCCGCGGTCACGCGTGTATTCTTTCAAAACTTGAATTCCCAGAGGGCCTACCTGCTCTGTCCCCATCTTACACACACGCATGTGTCCGCGGCATTCTGTGTTACTATAGGACGCATGGGCATGCGTCAAATGCGTTATTTTTTTTAACACGATTAATGACAAAAATTAATTAACTTGCGTTAACGCGATAATTTTGACAGCCCTAATTTTGTGCAGATTTGTGCTAGCTGATAATAGCGTGGAAGTAGCTAACCCTGTTCTTGATGTCTGAGAATAAATAGTATAATAACAAAAAATATTAGCATACAAAGTGGCCTGTTCCACATCAAGTAAAGTTCTTTCTTTTATGTCCGGAGAAATTATGGAGTTTATCTAGTTTCGAGGCTCACCTGTGATCTGCGTCTGCCCCTGGGGGTTAAAGGAGTTGGCTGCTGGGTTGAGGCTGGGTCTAGGGGGCTGGGTGGGCACGGACACTCGCACCCTCATCCTCTCCAGCTCACTCAGGCGGTCCGAGAACAGGCCGGCTTTGGGAGGATCTTCCAGCTTCTGACGATGCCCTAAACACACAGACATGAGGTTGTAGTGGCGTTTTGAACTCGATTTTGAATCTGAAAGAATGGTCTCGACACAAAGAGTTACTACTATTTTCAGACAATGTCCCCTGAATAAGCACAAAACCGACTTGCCATTACCGCTTCATCATGACATTTAAAGTAGCAATAGTTTTAAGCTCTGAAACGTTTCTTCATGGAAATTTGATGTGAAACAGACAAAGGGTGGAGTCCTGAAACGTGCCCTGAGGACTTCCAAAATCAAAAAATACTAAATTGTAAGAAAAGCCAGATCTATGTTTTGAACTACTTTGGCGCCGAAAGGGCTTTGACCTAAAAATATTCATTAATCTGGAATACTCTAAGAATAATCCTGCGACCAATAATCATCTAACCATTTTTTCAACAATAAGCTTTTTAATGCACCACAAGAGCCCTGTCATGTTTTTAAATATTTTTTCTATTCTGTCTTTGTTCATGCCAGTTATGAAAACAGCATTTTTAAAAACATGTTGTGTAACGTTTCAGTTTATTTGTATTAATTTTTATTTTTAGAATCAATTAATCTAACTCACTCTCGACACCCTACAAGATTGGCGTCCGCAAACAGGTTTTTCTGCTGAGCTATTAAAATGTACAGTACTTTTTATTTGTACCTTGTCAAATATAATCATCTCACTTGTCTGGCTCCGTTTGTGGCACAGTTACAGCCTGTAGTACAGTTACACAAAGCATTATGTGAAAAGATCCCGGAAATAACCTTAATGATCTTATATCGGCTCGCATGGAAGAGCAAAAAACACAGGCGCAGGAGATGATGGAGAGAATGAGAATGTGAAAGAATGTTTAGACGTGACCCGCGGCTTCCTCTTCAGGTAAACACCGTCTCTCACGCCACAAAGCCATTATCCCCACAGGAGACGAGCCAATGCCAAACTCACTGTATTATTCTGCATTCCTCTGCCTATAAAATCACACGCCTTCAGTATGACCTACAAGTTGTCTCACTACTACTCCAACAAAACACAATGCAGAGCTGTCAATAATGAGGCTTTTTTCTTTCTTCTGATCAGGCGTGGGACCTCCCGTTCGCCTGGAATGGGGATCCATCATATGAAGAAGTTTAGTTTAACGTTTAAGTATTGGGGCAGTGCACAGATGTTATGACTTTTTGTGGACATTGAGTGTAGTTGGAACGGTCGAAGGCAAAAGTACAAAGTGCCCGTGCCAAAGAAAGTAAAGTCACTGTGTACTTTTGCCGGAACAGCCAGTTGGACTAGTCATATTTTGTGTGTTTTTTTGTGTATTTCTGAAAGAACATAAAAAAGTTAATTGGTCATGATTTGCACTAAGACGATTTAATTCTATTAGGTGATTAAGATACCAATTTTCCCAGTAATCAAGATTGTTTTATCTTATTTTTCCCCCAAACAAGTGCACTCCATTATAACGTGCTAGTTGCAATTATATGACTATAATGTCATATAGTCATTATATGACTATAATTGCAACCAACACGTTATAAATGTCAATATTTAAATTCAGAAATGCATAGGGGATAAACATGTTACAAAATATGATTGCACATTGACTAAAACAATTTTGCATGCAATCATTGTCCCCACAATTGTGACTGTGGCCTCCAATTGGAAAAATGCTTGTTCTTTCTGCCTGTATCTGTAAAATTAAAAAAAACAGTAGCTAAAGGGTTTGTGCACTGGGTTGAGTAAGCATGCTACAGCAACCTGTGAGTTTAATCTGATCTTATCACAAATTAAATCTTGTATGTAGATGAATCAAAATGAAAAAATGAAAAATGCTAAAATTACTCTAACTTTGAGTGTGCAAATGATGTGGTCAAAAGCTACCAAACCACAAACTGGGGCTCATTCTGCCGCAGCCCCAGTGTGTGGATGTGTCCTCGTGAAGGCGGTAAAGTAAATATGAAACACAGGAGAGTACAAACTCCTGCTGTGCTTGGCTCGCTTCCAATTTGGCTCAGGCAGGAGAAAGCCAACTACTTCAGAATCCTGCCCAACCTGCTGCTGCTGCTGCTGCTGCTGCTGAAGGCACATGGGAACAAAGACCTTGCACTAACAGCCAGGCGAAGGTGGGAGGGGGAAAAGTGCATGGAGACATCTTTGGGATTAGCGAGACAACATCAAAGGCAACTGCAAACATGGGGATGTACAGACATTTAGCGTTAGAGTTTTTCCATTAGCAACATTTGACACTATCAGCTCACATTCACTATTATTCACTAGTATTGACGCTTCACACTGGAGCACTTAACTTTACTAAAGTATGAATGATCACAATAAAAAGTCTGGTGTCTGTTCACAAAAAGTTACTTTTACAACATGGTGGATTCATCTAATTATAAAATACGTCATATTTTGAAAACTTGCAAAATAGAGCCATGTGAGTCACGATTTGGGCAGAGAGCTGATGAGCTGAGTGAGGGTGGTCTTCTCTTTTCATTTTTCTGTCTAAAAAGATGATCTTAAGATGTGACAGAGGCCAAAAATACATATATGTGATCATCAGCGATATAACAAAACTGATTTGAGAGATGTCTAGCTCGATGGATTCAATAAATGTTTAATTTTTGTGCTTGAAAGTTAGGTACCCCAACTTTGCGGATGCATTTCGCACCTTTTCCTGATAGAGATGTTATTGCTTGGCTTGGAATGTCACTCAGACTGACACAAAACGTACATGATTTATCACAGATGTTTTTACTGCTCAAAAACCTGAATTCTTACATTGGGTGGGCTCGCCTCTCCGCAGACATGAGCCGTAACTTAGCAGAGTGAAGTCACTCGCTTGTCTCGGGTGTATAGATGAAGGAGTTTGATGCCATACTGTGGAACATTCCAGGCAAAACAACATTTAGATATTAGAGGTTACAGAAAAGGCCAAACTATGTTAATAGTACTAAAATAATTCATTACATTCACAAATTTTTGTCATTTTTTGCAACCAACTTAATGGAATCAGATTTTGTGCAGTCAGGGAAGAACAACAGTTGATTCAATGCAAATGTATTTATTTTGCTTCTGATGAATGTCACAATTACTTATTGTTTTTAAAGCTGGGGTAAGTAACTTTTAAACAACCAAGATGAGAAAGAAAATAATCTAATTTTCACACGCAATAACTTTTTGACTTCTATCACAGCTACAAATCAGCTTTTTTACAAGGTTCTCAGCCCAAAGCATCACATGTGTATATACAGTACAGTATATAGCACATTTTCACAGACGAAGGTCAAGCGCTTTAAAATGATACAAAAATAAGACATCAGACAAAAAGTTTTGGTCTGATGTGCTCAAACTTTATACATTTACAAGATATTTTTCTGTTGAGACAAACAACATATATTATTTATGATAAAAATAGATCTAAATACGTGACAAAAATATAAGCATGTGAAAACAAGCGAACCAAATTGTTTTGAGAGTGACACAGTGTTTGACAGATTTTCAGGCTTTCATAGTTCTAATTGGTAAAAAGTTGTTTGAACCCCAGCTTTCACAAAATCCTCTTTCCAATCAACCACTACTTCCAAAAAACTTTATTAACAATATTCCTCTTGTCAATTCCAGGCATAACGTGTGCCTCCCTCGGCGCACACTATGCCCAGTCAATCATGGCGTTTCCACTTTCGCCAGACTGAATCTCTTCTCTAAAAAAGCATGAGACACACTGCCTGCTTTGTGCGCGGCCGTCTCCTAGTGATGGGAATAAATAGCACTGGGACAGACATAGCGGGACAGGCGGGGGGTGGAGGGCGCAGAGGAAGACCCTGTTGACCAGTAAATTAGCAGCAGCAGCAGCAGCAACAGCAGCAGCAGAAGGCGGGACAAGTCCTCCCAGCACTGAATGGAGAAGGACTTAGCAGTTTATTTAAGCCACAGCCAAAGGGAAAGAGCAGAGAATGTTTAGATATCGTCACAAAGCCATTACCGGTCCTCTGTTATTAACTTTTATGCTCTTGCCTTTATGTGTATTGTTCTTTAGAGCTCGGAACGGCAACTTGTATTAACCCTATAAAAGGTGCTAGAGTGGCAGAAATTCTACATGATCTACAGTGAGCAATCCATGACACTTTCTAGCTATACTTGGCGAAACTAATCCTACTAGTCATATTCATATTAATTATTTATCTATTTTGATTGATTTTAGTCGTTTTTTTGGAAAGGGAGCAATAATGTGATATTTTGTTACGATTGTATTATTGTTTCTATTAATATGTTGTATCATATGATTTGTGTATTTGTACAGAATTATTGGGATCAACATTTATTGTCAACAAACTGACAAAAAATGGAAAGAAAGAGGAAATTGAAACAGACTTGCAACCCCCACATATACGATTTCATAGAATATAAATTTTAAGCATCAAAACACAATGAATACATTTGAATTCATTCATGTTTAAGTCATTTGATCTATTGTCATCTAAAAATAATATACTTGTTTCCAAAAGGATTGTTAAAATATAAAGTAGAATTTCTTGGGAACCACTGCTGTAGAAGGCACTGACCAAAGCATGACCAGTCGATTCAGACGGTGATCATTGCAACACACACACATTCACACAGACAACACACTTTCTAATATGTCGTTTGACCCAAGGTTTTTTTCCCGAAATAGAAAGATACTTTATTGATCCCCCAGCAGCAGAAGACTCATCCAGGTCTTGTATTTACTTAAGTTTGTTTTATAATATGGCATCTGTATGAACACATCTATTCTCCGGAGCTAATTGGGCAGCGCCATAAGAGGCCATAACATTTAAAACAACAGTACTTTCCTCTCAAACCAACCAACCACATCATTGCCCAATTTCCTCCGCAAACACATCCATTTGTTTGGCAGACCGGACAGTAAGTACAGTATTTCCACGGCTTAATGACACCTTTTAGACTGACAACTGTTTCCAAACACAGGACACCTCAGCTGTTTTATCGTAAGCTCGGCGGGGAGGAGGAGGAATGGGTCGGGGGGTATTTAAAGAGCGGGAAGGAGGATGATTTCACTGCCGTAGGGAAAGTCCCGAGATTCCCATCATCCCTGAGAAAACAGCGCAGATTTTCGATAGGACCCTGGCACTTCCCTATGCCCAGCCGGCCACCGGAAACCAGGGTCGATTCAGACCAGATGTGAGACACGGAGAGAGACGAGTTTACTTAAGCTGGGTTCACACTTATACACACACACACACACACACCGGGATACAAGCAGGACTTAACCAAGACTAAACCTGGATCAGAAGAGGAACAAATGAAGACATTAGAAGGACTAAACAGCGCAAATGTACAGGATATAAAAGTATATAACCCCGAAAATACAGTTTGAAAAGGGCAGATGCCTATTTTAGTTTAATCCCTCTCACTCATTCAACACAACACAAGACCCAGGCACAAAACTCTGAGATTCTACACTTCACGTTCAACACTTGCTCTGTGCTGAGGGCATCTCTCTCAGCCTGAACTAATCCACCAACTAACCAATAAGTAGAAAAAGACCAAAACATGTCCAAGTAGTTAAGTAGGCAAACTTAAAAAAGCTCTCCCTGTTTATTCTCCTTTAAATTATATCCCAGCAGCTCAGCCTGATCCCCGAATCAGCTGAATCAAGAGAACTGATTCTAAAAAGACCAATTCAACTACATTTTGATCTGAGACGTGCATGTGTGAAGTCTGCAGATAAAATAAACTTGGCTTACAGAAAATCAGTGCGGAGTTGAATGTAAAAGCAGCCCAAACCAGCCAAAATTTAATGAAGGAGTACCTAACCTTTTTAATCAGAAATATAACATGTTTGCCTCAACTTAAGAGTCTTATAAGAGTTTTGAATCAAACCACAACATACCATCTTTATACTATTAGAAAACATTTGATCTTTGGAAGACTTCTGAGGAGCCCTGTGAGTCACTATTTGACACTTTGGGCGGAGCGAGGGTGGTCCTCTCTTTTTCAGATTTCAAGAGAAGGTCCTTTATTCGTCCCACAATGGGGACATTTCAGTTTGATGCATACACATACACATATACACATACACATCAAGGCAAGCAGCGAACACCACTTCCGCTTCTTTTAGGCAAAGTGGGTTAAGTGTCTTGCCCAAGGACACAACGATAGCAGTCATAAGTGGGAGTCGGTAGAGGTCTCATGGTGGGCTCGAACCCATGACCTTTGGGGCCAATGCTCTACCAACTGAGCCACTGTGGCCCCAATTTGACAAAACTGACGTGATGTGATCATATAACTGTGTTGAGAGGAATTATAGACATTGATTTCATTACATAGCTATATTGTTTGTGGTTTGAAAGTGAGGTACCCAGGCTTAAAAACATAACTAGAATAAAACCTCAAACCAGTGGATGAACCAGGATTAGAACAAAAACTAGGACTAAACCAAGACGAAAGCGATCCGAGCCGTACAGTCTGCAGCAGGCCTCAGCACGTGCAGCTAAAAGCTATCCACACACAGAATAAAGCTACTACACAGATTGAATAACAGAACTATAGATAGAATCTAATCACACAGCACCCTGGTCCAAACATAGTATTATTCCAGCTGCTACGGTCACAGCAGTGCAGGTCCAGTGGCCGATCTGATAGCGGCAGGAGCAAGAAGGCAAACACAAAGTAAGCCTTCGGTAATTAATAGGAGCATTAGGAACGGTCAGAGAACAGAAATAGAGAGAGGGGAGCTTCAGCCTGGTCATTCATAAAAAAAGGATCTCTGTTGACATTTTTCAAATTCAAGCATGATTGTTGAATGGGGACATAACATTCCAAGTAAAGCACAGATGATGACAATTCTTTGTATTTCAAAACTTGTCTCTTTAGTTAAACAATACAATAAACAAATACTAAATTCAGATACCACAAAGCCATTCCAACTCCTCATACCAGAACCACACTCACTATTTCTACCCATATAGGCATTTTTGCTCTAGAAAAAAATAAACTTTGATCAAATTGGCCATCTGAGCGGTGTCTGCAGGGCTTCTGATAGACAATACATCTTTATTATCTTGGATGTGACCACATTTCCTGAATACGGAAGTATTCTAAAAGAAAGGTTCTTTCATAAAAGCATTTTCAGTAGATATCTACTAAATATAAAGTAATCAACCATGTGGGGGTCAGAGGTCATCACCTGAATGTATAAATAAGATCTGAACTTTAACAAACAATGATTTAAGATTTCTGTTTCCACAAACTTCCCTCTTTACACAAACTATATTTAGTGGTTTTAAGTTTTCTGCTTACACTTGAGGAAATGTATCCAATGTGACTGATCTTTGTCAATATGTTTTTTTCTTAATTATGATGATTTTACTTCCTGATGATTTTAAAGTGATACGGTATAATCTTTTTTTATATTGTTTAATGCATGTATTGATGCAATGTGGAACACATGAAAAGATGAAAACATGCAAAAAAGTAATGATATAAAAAACTGATATCATGTAATACTTTTCCTCTTTGCCCTTAAACTCGAGAGGCTCCAGGCCAACGTTGTAAATAACATTTTGTCCAAGTGAAATTTCCACGGGGCAGAACAAATGAAAGCACATGCAAGGACCTTTGAATGAAATTAGATATTTATGACAAAAACAAAAAAGATGACAAAACCAGATTGTTCATTCGATTGTACGTGTCAGAGGTATTACGAAAGTTCCACTCAGTTCAAAACGAATGAGTTGGCTGACCGGACCAAAGTCACAATGTTCTTCATCCATCACACTTTTCCAGTTCCCTGCATTTGCAAAACATGTGTGGTCTTTTAATGACAAATAACCTCTTTAACTTGGCTACCTCCAGCGTTGTTCACACTTCAGGGG